TGAAACTGACAACCATGCTAAATATCATGCTGATATTGTTAAGAGCAATGGACAGTATTTAGTGTTGATATTTAAATGGTTGAATGAGTGAGTAAGTTGGCATTTAAACCGTTTTTAGCAATATTCCAGCAATATCACAACAGGGGACACCAGAAATGGGCTTCAAACTTTGTACCCATGTTGGGAATCGAACCTGAACACTTGATGCCATGAGCAAATGCTTCAACCACTAGGCCACCCCATGGCCATAGATGGTTGAACACAAGCAATAGAAGTGAAGTTGATAGAGCAACTTCCTGGAGTTTAACCTCAGCTTTCTGAATTTGGGGATTATGCATTACAGTTGGGTGGTGTAGGAAAAAAATGTTCAGAGTCTGTGAGACACAGATCCATTGACCAGGATAATGAAACACTTTCATCAGGTTACTCAGTACAAAAAGTGCAAACCAAATCAACTTTTATAAGTCTTATATCTTGTGTTTTGTTCATAAATACCATGTCCACTCTACTGTCTAATCATGTACACAAATACTCAATAATGTATAACTGTCTCATTTCAGAAAATGACCACAGCTGGTTCTGAAATGTGAAACGTCTGACTTGTATTTAAGACTGTCATAAAGCAAGGTCGCTTTCCGACCTGAAGTTTTCATATATCTTATTTCATTGTATAGCTGCATTATTGTCATATCCTATTGCCTTAAAGTAGAGACAGATATTGTGTCAGAACATTCAAAATACCCTGGAAACCACGATCCATGATTCACGGGCATTTTAGGTCTTATTTAGGTTTCAGGTCGATGATGTCAGTTCCAGAAGTTTAGGATAGAGTTCTGGCGTCTGTATTTCCATATGTGTCCAGCTTGAGATTTAAATATTCAGAAATAAGTTTCGGCTGTATTTTGGTTTGAATGTGAGAAATATGTAAATTTGATAGCAGTTACCAAGAGCAGTTTCTTAAACTGGAGACCTTTTGGTGGATATGTGACTAGATATTGCGACAGTTCTCACATAATATTCACAAAAGGTATAACTGGTACTAAAGAAGTAGCAAAATACATTAAAAGAAACCGCATTGAATGTTTACCCGTATAAAGATGCTTAGTTATTGAGCGTATAGCTCTGTCAGTCGGCTTGCTGTCATAAACTATGGACTCAGTCATGTGTAGTATATATACTGCGGTAGTTAAACCACCCCTGACATTGCAACATGTGTTCGTGAAATGTAAAAGCTTTTGTTGAAAGCCTGTCACGGTGGTTTCTGTGTTGTACAACGCTGTGAAGATTGGGCGATATTGACTCTCAAACAGAAAGGCTTACAGTTCCAGTGTGCGTCAACAGCATAACAAAATTGTCTTTCTATGGATTTTTGGGTGTCATTGATTCTGGAATTGTTGTTTTGTCAATGAATTTGTACAGATACACTGGATCTGCATATGTTTTGATTTGGAGTTTGGAGTTCTGTCGACAATTGATTCGATTGTGTGGATTTCATTGGGATATTGACATCTTCACCTTGACAGGTTGATTGACAGGGTATAAAAGGTGTTCATAACAAAGTTTTTGTAGTTTGTGTTATATTCTGGGAGGAGTACTGGATGGATAGAGATGGTCAAATATGTCTTTGTATCATGCAGGTAGGACCTACATAAATAAACAGGTAAGTTGTATTAGTATGACATTTAAGATGAATATTGCATTTTTTATCTATTAAAATACTGGTCTGGTATTAGTCTAAATGAACTGTTTCTGGTTTTTAAATTTATTAAATTTAGGCTACATCTGAAGATTTTGCTGTCTGTCTATTCATCAAGCAGGCATTCTTTGAAAAGGCACGGAAAACAGAATTGATTAGGTCAAACTTTAAATTCTAATTTGAATGATAAAAATCTGTTGGTTATATTAATTTAGACGATGGTACTTGTCATCAAATGTCATTTTTTGTTACAAAGAGATTTCATTAGCTCACACAAACAGATGCCAAACAAATCTTTACTAACTCATACAACATATGACTTAACTGTGAAATTAATATCTTTAGTAGACTACAATGAATTCTATAATAAGTTCAATGAATAATCATTTTTCTCCAATATTCGTGGATAGATAAACTTATTGCTCTGCACTAGACAAACAGAGGTCATAATTTACGATGCTATCAGGTGTTGTCATCTTGCATAAAGTATTGGCACAATTGATGAAATTTACAATGATTCTTTGATTAGACGGTATTGATTTCCTGATCAAATACGACTCTAATTCAACATGGAATCATACAATTTTCTGGTTGGTAAATTTATTTGTATGAAAACCAAATGGTTCATTTGATTGCTGTGTTGGGATCTCCGATTCCTGATGTACGAACTAAGCTTTCTGAAGACATTGACAGGTGCTTGCGGAATATAAATTAAATCAATCATGGTATCTACACTAAAGCCATTTATCACAAAAACATCCACCTGGGGCACTGTGGACCGATGTTGATATATGCCAGGGTTAATTAATTTGGTTTTGTTATAATCATTCCTTGGCTTTGTTACAGACATTGTAAAGTGTCAATTACAGATTCTGTTATTTTCTTTTTGTTATTTACTCAAAGGATACACTTAAAAAATGCAATTAATTTAAGATTTCCTTATTATAGTAATGATGATCATTAATCAACCAATTGCATTTTGAAACTGATGATCAATCATGGATTGTTGACCAATTGTCAACACTACTGTTACTCGCAGCCTGGCTCACCATGTCATGAGCCATGACAACCTAGCATCCCCCATGTCACCACCTCCCTGTCATGTCCACCACACGTATGCCTATATTACCAACTGTACATTTCTATGAAGTCAAACCCATGAAATAGAGAAATTAATCATGTTCAAACACCAATCATTTTGTCCACCCAGGTGGTCAGCTGTCCTCCGGTCACCAACGACCATGCAGCAAGTTTGTATCACCTTTGCCCCCCATCCCTCCATCATCTGTATCAATCCTGGAGATGACCTCTCACCCCTTGTCCATCTGTACTGGTCATGTATCTGTTGTTCGGCCATGGTGTTCAATGGTGACTCTTTCCTCTTCATTGAAACACCTTTGGTCCAAGCATTCATCCTGCTCGGTGCGACTCGGTGTGAGTGATGACCGCCTATGGTCTGAGTGTCCTTGTCGTCTTTTGTGACTTGCTCTAGCTACTCACACTATTTTTCCCCATAAAGCCCTCTTTACACGCTGGATTAACATAAGAGAAGTGTCAGATGTAATCAAGGATGAGTTATAGGTGTGAATTTGTCTGACAGAACAGCTCATGTCTACAGACCCAACTTTCTATTCTTGTCCCTTTAATTAATTCCTTTACTTCAACATCATCTCCCTACTGATTTTCTATCTGTCTATAATTGTATGGAATTCATTCAGAGAGCTTCCTGCCCTCCATATACTCACGCATTGCAGCTCCACTGCCAAGGACTACCATAGCCATGACTTTAGCTTTTGTGGGTTTCACTCACTCATTCAATGGCCTAGTGGTTAAAGCATTCACTCGTCATGCCAAAGATCAGGGTTCTATTCCCCACATAGGTACAATGTGTGAAGCCCAGTAATGGTGTTCCCAGCTGTGATATTGAAGGAATATTGCTAAAAGTGGCATAAATCTTGCCTCGAACACACATACAATGCACACCTCACCTACCCCCATACCTCACCCTACCCCCACACCTCACCCTACCTCCACACCTCACTCTACCCCGATACCTCACTCTACCCCCACACCTCACCCTACCTCCATACCTCACCCTACCCCCATACCTCACTCTACCCTCACACCTCACCCTACCTCCATACCTCACCCTACCCCATATGTCACCCTACCCCCACATCTCACCCTACCTCCATACCTCACCCTATCCCACACCTCACCCAACCTCCATACCTCACCCTACCCCCACACCTCACCCTACCTCACCCTACCCCACACCTCACCCTACCCCACATCTCACCCTACCTCCATACCTCACCCCACCCCATATCTCACTCTACCCCCATACCTCACCCTACCCCCATACCTCATCCTACCCCCACATCTCACCCTATCTGGATATCTCACCTTACTCCACACACCTCACCTTACTGCCATACCTCACCCTACCCCGACACATCACTCTACCCTCACACCTCACCCTACCCCAACATCTCACCCACACCTTACAGTCTAGTATGACAAGAACCAGACCCACCTTCATCACCTGTAACTAATCGCTACCGGAGATCACATCTGTATTGTTTATCCCTAGGGGGATGTTTGGGTTATTACTACTCTCAAATACTCAATATCTCATTATGTTTGACATTTTCAAAACAAAGAAAATTACTTTCTAAATACAAAGAAAATATCACATTTTCGAGATATAAGAGGTATTTTGTTATAGCCTCAAGTAATAACATTCAGTTTCATTTCAAGCAATAAAAAATATTTTGACACATGAACAGCCCTTAAATATATATTTTTTCTGAATCAGCTTGAATATACAGAAAAATGTACCATTAGTATTCAAACATATTTTAAATCAACTTTGCTATCTCTCAAAGCAGTTTCATACAACTTTCATTTTTTCATCAAGATTACAAAGTAATTTTGTACACAGACTTTATTTTTTTCCCCCGCAATGCTCCATTACTCATTATTCATTACTCAAGTTCATCAACGATGGGAACATTTTAAAATCTCTTCAATTCAAGAGCTCTAAATCAAAGACAGGTGTTTTGGGTTAAAGGAAACTCGGACAAAGTAAAGCTGGAACAAAGGACACAATGAGTTATGTTGCCCAAGATTATAATTTCCGGCCAAGGTTGATCTGTCAAAAGGGCCTGTGTACATCACTGTAGAAAAATCACATACAGACTTATTCAAGGGTTAGAAGGGCTGATTGTCCTCTTCCCGTGGTCCGTACACGCTGGAGTGTACGCTTGAACCACCAACTGCAGTCTCACTACTACAGGGAACAGTAGCGAGAGCGAGCGTAGTCCTGTATACTCGTACGCTGGGATCCATGCATACACAGTGTGTGTTGTTAAACTCAATGGTTGCAATTTGAAGTGGTAGCTCTATTGAGGACTGTGTCAGAATAGCAGCAAGATCAGTGTTATATCAGACAAGGATTAAGTCTTATTCCACCTGCTTCCTGTTGTTGTGTCAAATTAGACCCAGGAGAACTGTTCCGGAGTCCCTAATGAGACTGTTCTAGCATGGAAAAATGATCACTGCCAAAACTTCAGTGTCTTGGCTTCCAGGCTTGATTGGACGATGGATTAATAACAGTTAGGATCAGCTCTCGTTTCTCTAAGGATGTATGTGTCGGACATGTGGGCTTCATTACAAGGTACTGCGTTTCTCCGTCATTACTTTGTCAGTTAGTACACCATTCCATTCATTTGGACCTGCTTATGCTGCTTCTAATTATCTTCTAAATATTTTTCAAATTGTTGAAGAATCTTCCAGCTTAATGAATTTGTTGATCAATAGTACTCAGACAGGAATGTCTTTTCAGTTGATTGGTAAATTTAGATGTTTGGTTTAGTGTAAATTAATTATAGCCATGTTTAAAAAATTTAAAATTTTGATGAGTTTTAGGTACATTAATCATTTTAAGTTTCTGTTTTTAAAGTCAACTAAGAATTCTAGTCCAATGCTTGTTGAAACTAGTTCCTTGAAGTGGAAGTTTAGAAGCATGGTGATGTACAACAGAGGCCAGGGCTTAGCATGTAGTTATGCCATATATTTATCTTTATCCATCTTCTGGTCAAGTGAAGTTGACTAGATCTATATTTTACTGCTCATGAATTGATCTACACACTGTCCCTGTTACTTGTTCGTAGTTGAGTTGTCTGTTAGATGCACACTAGTATCAGTCTGGATTTGTTCAACTTTAGCCTGCCTTCTATTGATTGTACTGGAGATAGTAAAGCTTGCCCAAGTAGTCCCCATATTTCATTCTACAAGTATAGAGCTGGTTAATGATAGGCCACCACTGGAGGCAAATGGGAGAAAAGTTGTGTCTTGGAAAATCAAATTGAAAAAAATTAACCATTATGTTTAATATGTAAGCAATAACAGTGAACCGTTCCAGCAGTTATGTGGATTATTGGAACATTGTTTCTGTTCTTCAAAGGCAATTATGACAATAATAAACTATCAAATGTATGTCATGTAGTACAGTATTAGTTAATTAAAAAATGGTTTGAAACAATTATGCAGGAACAGATGGCTTTGTGAGTTCATTCACAGTATCATGCTGTAACAGGTTGTTTCAATTAACATAGGCGGCAATAAATATTTCAATAAGCGTTAGATGAGCAAAGATGGAGTTTGAGAAGGCTTTTAGTCTAATTGACTTTCATGAATTTGTCATCCTGAATCTAGGAACCTAACGATGTAGTTAATATTTCAACGCATTTAACCTGAGAAAGTCGGGATAAACAATGGGTTTGACTTCATGTCATGGATACAAGACTTTCTAAACAATATTGAGTTACATGGCTAATGAAATGCACTATCGATGCGTTTTAAAGTGTTTGGTTAGAACATGTTAATACGCGTTGCATGAATGTATGAATGTTAATGATTTGAAGATGGGTACTGACACACTTTGAAAATGCAATTTGCCAGTTTCTGTTATTTTCTCAATCTGTTGTCGTCGTGAGTATTCATGTTTATTTCATAAAGCCGTACTGATGAAGAGTATCTAAATTTAACAGTCTTATATAATCTGCAGCCATTTTCTTGAAGCCTCTTGGGTTTCCATTTGACAAGCAAGGAATTTGGGCTGCTTTTTGTCTGAAATCAATACTAATTTGCCACAAAGATTCAGAGAATATAGTTATAATTGTTTTTTATCTTGTGTGTAACTTGTATTGAATTTTCATTTGGCTTTTAGAGTTGGTATCTGTAAATTACTGCGTTTGGCCTTAAAATTTTAAGTAAATGACATGTTTACGACCTCATTTTCTGTAAATTAATTGTCAGAAAGGCTTCCTACCTCAATGCTGACATTGTTTTAGATTAAAAACAAATAAGTTTACTACTGTGGACTTATGTATGCCTGAAACATTGAGACAGCGTTGTAATAGATATGTGAAAATAGTATAACTACCAATAGCGTTGGCTACCAAGATGCTAATCTTTCAGAAAATTCCAAGACCAAGATGACAATCAAAGAATCCAATGACCTTCCTGGATGAATTATATATGAGATTTGTTTTTCAATGTGTTTTGCCATTTGATGAAGTGAAATTGATCATGTGAATATCACAGCTGATCAAAAAATGGTCGTCTTTTTTAGGTAGGAAAAAACGAAAGCAAATTGCCAGCAGGTTTTGCCCACAATCCATCAGGTTGAATTTGAATTGTTTAGCTCACGGAGCAAGTTTGTGTCAACTCGGATTATAAGTTGTGATGTGCGTGTTATCAATTATTCAGTAATAAAGTAGTGTTTGTAATGGGCGGGCAGGCTTGGGAGACAGCTTATTATCTTCAGAAAGACAACCTGATTACTTTATTACTGCTGCTGATCACTGGATTTGTTACTGTAGGAAATAGAAGGATTTACGCTCAGGGGATTATCAGGAACTTATTGATAGTGATCACTTTACCATATGATGATCAGCAATGCATTTTGATCATCACCATTATATATATGTGTGCATGTGTGCATGCATGCATGCATGAATATGCATATATAGGTATATGCTGCATCTAAATGTGACATTAACAACTAGCAAACAATTCAATTCGGGGTTAAAAATTGACCAAGAAAGTCTACTAACATGAACAATTATGACATATGTTAATACCTACCTGAATGTTAACATTCTGAACATTCTGTCGGCCCTTAGGAGATATTTAAGAGCAACAAAACAGGCCCAGACTTACAGTCTTGTGCAAATGTCTGTTCCTGTTTCATCAGCGAATATCCCAGCAATAAGATGAAGCATTTTCAAGTAACCTTGAGGTTAAAGTGTTGCTGGTTATATCATAGAGGGATGGAGGGTAAGCCTAGTGGTGAAGGGTTTGCTTATAATGCTGGAGGCCCTGGTTCAGTTTTCCCATTTTGGTACAATGTGTGAAGCCACTTTCATCAACATAAACTGTCTGGGTTTGATTCCCAACAGTACAATATTTGAAGCCACTATCATCCACATAAACTGTCTGGGTTTGATTCCCAACAGTACAATGTGTGAAGCCACTATCATCCACATAAACTGTCTGGGTTTGATTCCCAACAGTACAATGTGTGAAGCCACTTTCATCCACATAAACTGTCTGGGTTTGATTCCCAACAGTACAATGTGTGAAGCCACTATCATCCACATAAACTGTCTGGGTTTGATTCCCAACAGTACAATGTGAGAAGCCCTGTCTGTGTGAAGCCACTATCATCCACATAAACTGTCTGGGTTTGATTCCCAACAGTACAATGTGTGAAAGCACTATCATCCACATTCATCCCAGCATAAACTGTCTGATCCACATAAACTGTCTGGGTTTGATTCCCAACAGTACAATGTGTGAAGCCACTATCATCCACATAAACTGTCTGGGTTTGATTCCCAACAGTACAATGTGAGAAGCCCTTTCTAGTGTTCCTGCCATTATATTGTTTGAAAGTTGCTAAAATTGGGATCAAACGCACCAAATAGATTATCATCCACTATCGGCCGCCATGACGGTGACAAACCAGTTACAAACCAGGTTAAATGCTAGTCTATTCAATCACATGAGAAATTAAGTTGACTTCTGTTTTTATACTGTTGCAAGAATACTGATATCACAACGTATGATAGACACATATTATTTGACATCCAACAGCTTCCATCACACTTGCTGCTCATCCGTCACATCTTGTACATTTGAAATAGACATATTCGCTCTCCGTGCTCACCTCTATACCCCTTTGAAAGGTCTGAAAGAGACACCGTCCCTAGCACTCAACACCTCAGTCATCTTTCAGCATTTTTGACTTGTGAATCAGCAGTGAAAGCTGTTTGTATAGAGGACAGCAAATTATGATGCAATTTAATTGACAGGGAGTCTGCTGCATCAATATCTCAAAGCTGTAAAACCTATCTCTCATATCTCGACTTGGCAAAGAAAGGAATGATTGAAGGAAGACCATGTGTTGTAGCGATTTTCTGCTCCATTGAGCTAAAGACTGTTTTGAGGCATTCTATGAAAGCATGAAGCACCCAGTGGCTTATCTGCCCAATTTATACCCTCGCCCTGTCGCAGTTTCCGCAGAGAAGCGGCTTCACACGGCCAAAAGTGGGAGTAATTTTCACAGAAGTCACAGATCTGGAAGCATGTAATTCGTTGCAGACGTAGATTACAACCCTTGATACATACATTTCACGGTTCCATGGATGCGTGTAATACTTACCAATTTCAAAGTTAGTCATCATTTTTCAATATTTCAAATTTAGACATCGTGATAATTTATTTCATGGATGAACGGTGTGAAATGCTCATATTTCACATTGAAATGGGTTAATGATGGTTGAGTATGTGATAATTATATCTACGGTTGTTTTTCTTGGGATTCCGATAATTCACATGGATAGTTTCAATTTGATTAAAAAGCACCTGAAGTTGGTAATTCATATTTTTGTTCATTATTCCAAATAAATCATGTATCCTTAGAAACCATAAATCCCCTTAACAATCCCCTGAATTCTGTAACTATCAAGTAAATCCCATTTTTTAATCATGCTGGTTGAAAATACAGTAGTCATAGGATCCTTCACAGCATGCAGATTGCTAACATATTTCTGCTAGAATTAGAATTACACTGTAAATATTTCTACGCAGAAAAAACTACTTTTATAATGTAATAATTTAAACAAATATCCATGACTATTGTACTTATACCTCTCTTATGTGATATATTTTAATTATATATAAGCGTTTTAGCGCCTAAAGACTTTTTATTGTCATTTAGTGTCTCACAGGCCATTTCTGTCCGGACAACGTACTGTGAATATGTGTAATTTTTAATCTATTGGGAATGTACGTTATGTGACACTTAAATAAAAAACATTTCTTCTTCTTCTTTCTACTCTTTTAAATGCTGCTCAAAAGAAGTTAGGGATGTAAATAAGTTAATCTGTCATGGAATAACAAATTGACTGTAACAATTTGACAAAGATGAGGTAATCCTGAACCTAGTGTCAGTAAAGTATGTAAAAAAGAATTATTTAACATTTGTGATTTTCTTTAAACATGTTTGCAGCCACACAAAAGATTCCTTTCTCACCCATTTAAGTTACAATTATGGTGACTGTAATCTCGATATAATAACAATCCATTAAGATAGGTGAAGAAATCATA